ACACACACACACTCGCACACACACACACACTCGCACACAAATTGAAACTAGAGAAGCTTGGCACAACAATCTTCCTTAATAATTCAACCTTCTTCATTTATCAGGTAATATAAAGTGATTCATCCTATCAAGCCAAATAAAAATCTTTAAACCATTGTTTTTAAAATGAAAGGTGGATCAGCTCATAAGAAAGCCAGACAAACTGTGCATAGCTGCCCCAACAGGACTGGACCATTTATAGATGTCGTTCAGATCACTCATATATGCCAATAAACATCAAATGTTTTTGAAAGTTTTTGAAAGTAGTTCTTCGAATGAGCTGACTGTCGTGTTTGTCAGGTATCAGATGCATCAGGATCCATGAAAGTTACAGCTGTGAGAGAGGAAAACCCATTTGTCCAGAGTGACTTGCTATCAGATGAATGCTTCATCCTGGATCATGGCAAAAACAAGATGATATTTGTATGGAAAGGTGATCGGACATTTTTGCTTTTCCTTCCCTATGAATGGCTTGTTTTCATTCTGACTGTGCATATTGTCTTTTTGGGTTTGTCATATCAACAATGATCTCACCTCATGTATCTCCACAGGGCATAAGGCCAACCCCAGTGAAAGAAAAGAGGCCATGAAAACAGCTGAGGGCTTCATCAAACAGATGGGTTACCCAGCAAACACACAGGTTCACCGTCCTGCTGTATTTCTATTATTTCACCATGTTTCCTTGTGTGAAATTTCAAGCAGATCTATTGGTAATGGTTTCACTGCTGATGGTCCTACAGATCCAGGTGCTGCCAGAGGGAGGAGAGACTCCCATGTTCAAGCAGTTCTTCCTGGTCTGGAAGGACAAAGATCAGAGTGAGGGTTTTGGAAAGGTGTCTGTCAAGGAAAGAATCGCAAAGATCCAGCAGGTGGAGTTTGATGCCTCTAAGCTCCATGAGTCCCACCACATGGCGGCCAAGTACAACATGGTGGATGATGCGAGTGGAGACACACAGGTCAGAATCATACCAACACTGTGTGGCTGACGTGGCTACATTTAATGATATACTGGTGAATAGAAAGCAGGCTTAGTTTCTCATAGAGAAAGTGCTGCACATTAATGCACTCTGCATTTATGTGCAGCACTAAGCTTTATAAATACAGACCATTTACCATCTATGATTTGCAGTCATGCTAGTCATGAATCGCACATTTGGCAGCCTAAACATGCACAAAATTCAGATGTGTAAGAAATGTACAATGTATGTGAAATGATTTGTGTGCATTTTTGTGCCCAAGTGATTCAATAATGCAACCTTTTTGGGCAAACCATTGGGCATATGTGTCATGCCCAGGCTGGATTAAGTGGTATTTTTTGGCGATCCACACACATTGTGCTTTAACAAACTCCTGTTCAGTCCAGTTCAATCCAAACACCTTGATGATGAAAAGTTGTCCTGTGAGTTTTTGTCAGTGGGTGTGTCCGTGGCAGGGCGACAAATCTTAATGTTTATTCATGAAACAGGAAGTTGTTCAACCATAGTTATCGCGTCCCCTACTGGCAAAAAGCTCTGGTAGCATGCGCAAGTTGATTTGTATTTTTAAATCTTTTTTTTTTTGGACCCATACCCTAAATTGAACAGGACGTTTGCGATTTTATTGTAATGTAAAATATTTGCTTGTTATTTGCTCTTTGCTGGCATTCTACTTAAACTCCTCCCACAGATTTATCATATCAATTTAGTGCCTTCAAAAAATAATTGAAGACATAATGATGTGGAATTTTGCTGTGAAATATGAAGTTGTAGTAATTTGAGTGTGCATGCTTCAATTGCCCAAACTTCAAATTAATCAATCAAATTATATTTGCATAGCCCATATTCACCAATCAAAATTTGTCTCATAGGCCTTTAAGGAAGTGTGACATCCTCTGCCCTTAACCCTCAATAAGAGGAAGGATTAACTACCAAAAAAAAAACTTTTAACAGGGGAAAAAGAACGTAGAAACTTCAGAGAGAGCCACATGTGAGGGATCCCTCTCCCAGGATGAACAGAAGTGCAATAGATGCCACGTGTAATGCTGTATGTTAAAAGTTTAGACTTCATAACATCAATGTTTCATCGTGAATTGTGTGTGAATCTTAAGTTTTTCTTCAACAGAAAGGAATTTCCACTAATTTGACTATTCATTGTTCAATCTTCACAAGACTTAACGTGTTTGATTTCCTGGCATGACCACATTTACTGTACGTGCCAAAATTCTAAATAATCATAGCACCACCCATTAGCAACAGGATGCACGCCTCAGCAGGCTGTGACATCCTTTATGCACTGTGCAAATGCATGACAGAATACCAAGCTGGGTCAACCAGCCTACACTAAACCACTGCCACAGCACACCCCGACACGTGCGGACTGCGAGGGCCCGACAAACACTGCTTGTACCTTTAATTTATTAAGGTGTTGCTCTTAAGAATATGTCCCATGAATATTGGACTCATTCACTCTCCTTTGAGCTCTGGTTTGGTCTTCACCAAACCAGGTTGATTGAGCTACATACATTTTAGTTTGAAAAGGTTTGTTTTTAAACTAAAAAGATCTCTGTCAGTTTTAATCCCCGTCCATACCTACCTGCCTGAAAACTCATATCTTGTCACAACTAAAATGCAGCCCTGGAGTTTTCAAACTAGGGGCCAGAAGCTTTTCCAAACCTTTAGCATCTCTAAAACGTATCTATCTCTTATCTATAGCAGAGTTGATGCTTTTTCAAATAAAAACAGATTAACCCTAATGACTCTAAGTCATCGAAAATTGGTGGCTCTAAATTCTCCATAGGTGTGTGAATATGAACATGAATGGGTGTTAACCTCCACGTATCAGCCCTGTGATACCAATCCTGTTCAGTGTCCCCCATCTCTTGATTTATTTCAGCTAGGATTGTCTCTAAAATAAGCACTGATAAGCACTTTAGATGATGGATGGATGGAAATCCTATACTCTTTAACTGATTATATCTCAGTGTCTGTGAGATCAGTACCAGCCCCAGACAAAAGAACATCACATCTTCCAGCAACAATCCAAATAGTTTACTGTTTGATGTGTTTATATATACAGATATTACCATGTGACTCCCAACGCTAAATTTTACATTGTGCTTTTTGTTTATTGCAGATCTGGAGGGTGGAGAGCAGTGGCAGAGTCCCAGTTGACACAAAGAGCTACGGACAGTTCTACGGTGGAGACTGTTACATCATCCTGTACACTTACGGGAAGGGGCAGATCATCTACACCTGGTACAACACCACCAGATACACACTGAGCTGGTTTGGTCACAGTGAGATGCGATTGTCTCTGTGATAGGCTCTAATGCTCAGCACCATCTGGCATGTTTACACAACCTATTTGATAGTTTCTGACTTTTCTAATATCAGTCATAAGCTTCACAAAGCAGAACTTTTATAATAATAAATTCAATCACTATCAGTGAGAAACCCAGAGAGAATTATAATCAACTCTGCAGTTTTTATTATTTTTTATTTGTTTAACATCACATACAAATGACTGCTGCCTTAAAACAGTACTACAGTTCATATATTGCTAATGGAGTCGCCTATTTACAAATCCAGAAGACCCAGGTCAACATTAACATCCATTTGGAATAATGTTCTGGCCGTATGTTGAAGTCCAGTCTTCTCTTTTTGCATCCGCTGTTGGTCACTAACATCCGATAACATCAACTGGTGGTAGGCATTAATTGATGTGGTAGACCATACAAGGGATATTCTGCATCCTGCCCTATGTTCTAAAATGGGAGTGTTTAGTTCAAAAAGATATAGAGGTAATGATGCCTGATCTACTGAGTGGGCCACTTTGCTTTCATAGTGCTGCCAGATTTACCTTTAGCCTCAGTGTGCCCTCAAATTCGATCTGTATCATTGATAACAAGGCCAAAACACTTGATGATACTAAGGTGAAGTTATGCCCCAACACCTGATGGTGGCCGCTAACATCTGCTATCATCTACTGGTATTTGGTAAATTAAACTGTGCAGAAGACCTTCAAATGTACAAGGGATATTCACCATCTTCTCCTATATTCTAAAATTGCTCTGTTTTGATCTCCACCAACCTTTGAGAGTTATATCTGGCCCTTGAACTGCTGAAAGCTCCACTTTGTTGTCTAGATAGTTGCTAACTTCATCAGCTGTGTGGTGCTGTGCAGGCAGTGTACAGTGAGAGTCTCACAGCTTTTACACCAAAAAGTGCTTACGGATCTTTCTTAGTCTAATTGCAGCCTTAGGAATAATTCTCTGGATTCTTCACCACAAGTGACTCTTTTCACATTACAGATATTCACTTGACTCACTGATAATTTAAATTATTGATTAGTGCACTTGTAAGTTTTACTCCTGTGTCTTCTAAACATCCAGTACTAATGATTGTTAAATGTCTCCTTGTGGCCTGTAGGCAGGGAGCCAGCTGCACTTTGGATGAGCTAACAGCCTCTGCGTTCCTGACTGTAGAACTGGATCGTTCACTCGGAGGGTTTGCAGTTCAGGTACAACCTGTATGAAGTGAAAATGAACAACACATGCAAATGATGCCTATTATCTCTATTCCTTGTGAAGACTATAAAAACATATAGCTGCCTTTGTTGATTAACCATTATTATGAACTTATTACATCATAAAAATATATATATCTGATTATAACAGTATAGTATTTGTCTTATATACTGGGCTCACTGGCCAATAATATGTAATTAACCATCCATTGTTACTTGATAACGCTGTAATACCTGTAAAGTCAGCAGTAACAGCTAAAACGTTCTGGCAGGTCATTGTTGCTCATGTGTGTTTCAACCAAAGTCTAAAGATGAGGGGAGATTTGATATATGTAGTATGAACAACCGACAGCTTAAGATGATGCCCATGATAAACATTACATGCTAAACATCAACATAATATGTAATGTTTGTGCAATTTTAAGATTTTTTAATTGGCCTGTCACAGAGAGATTTTTTTTGTGGCTTCAGGTCAGAGTGTGCCAAGGTAAAGAGCCACCCCATCTGCTCAGTCTCTTCAAAAAGAAACCCCTAGTTGTTTATAAGAATGGTACGTCCCGCCTCGGGGGCCAGGCCCCGCCACCTCCAACCCGACTCTTTCAGGTACGCCAGAATCTGGCAACCATCACCAGGATCGCTGAGGTGAGGATTTTCCTGCTGTATGGACTGTATTCACCACAGGCACCCGTAATTGAATTTGTTCATGCTAAAATTCACTTATGCTTCAGGTTGATGCCAGAGCCACCAGTCTCAACTCAAACGACGCCTTCCTCCTGAAGATGGCTGATGGGCGGGGCTACCTATGGAAGGGTAAAGGGTCCACTGAAGAAGAAGTAAAAGGAGCCAAGTACATAAACAAAGAGCTCGAGTGCAGCAGCAACAGCATCATGGAAGGAAGTGAACCAGGTCATCATCCACGTTTGACTTGTCTTGTTTGTTGACTTTATTAACCTTAACCTTACCTTTGAACATGTCTTCACCTTCAAATTTAATGACTTGATTTTTGTCCCCATGAGGAAGACAAGTCCCCTTAATGTGACTGTAAACTGATTTACATTCCCACAAGTTATACCTGGAGCACACACACACACACACACACACACACACACACACACACACACACAGATAGAGAGAGAGGGAGAGTTTATTTAGTTTTAGATTTAAATTTTGACTTTAGTATCACATGGAATATATTTAGTATCTTTTTTCTTTCATTTCCAACATCTGTTTTGTCTGTTGCTCATCGTCTCCCACAGAAAATGTCTCAAACTACATATGAAACTGCAGCAGTAAAATGGCCATAAGGTTATAGAGCCTCACTTTGACTCCGAATTCTAAACAGTCACAGGATGTATTTTTCTGTTGCAGATGAATTCTGGGATGCACTAGGGGGGAAGACAGAGTACCAGACCTCAGATAGACTAGAGAATCAGAGTATGACTCACCCTCCTCGTCTGTTTGGATGCTCCAACAAGACCGGCAGGTTCATGGTAAGTATTTGAACCACATTATTCTCTCTTTTTACGACAGTCCTCCATTTTGATGAATCTTGACTTAATTGCTTTGATTAGACCAAATGTCCACACATTATTCAATGCTGCTGATTTGCTGTTCCTGCTTCTTGTTAACTGTTTTTTTCGCACACACTAAAGCCCACTCTAAAAAACATAACTAATGACTTATCTCTTTAATCATCACTCCATCGTCTAAATTGTTGCTTCTTTACAGCTTCTATTCTGTTAGCATGCACCATTTCATTTGATTACCTGCACTAAATCACAGGCACAAATCCTTATTTTTCTAGACACATTTCTCCACATCACTAAAGCTACTGGTTATATTCCTCATGCGATCATGAGAGTCCCACTCCAATCTGTGTCAGACACTGCAGCGGTGTAGAATGGGATGTAGTGGGATACTATTGTAACCAGTGTCATTGTGTTGTGTGCAGATTGACGAGGTTCCTGGAGAGTTCACACAGGATGACCTGGCTGAAGATGATGTGATGCTGCTGGACGTCTGGGATCAGGTACTCACTTCTGTAAGACACGTTGGACCAGTATCGTCGGGCAAACTGATCTCTAACATACAGACTCCTCTGTTGCAGGTATTTGTCTGGATTGGTAAGGACGCCAACGAGGTGGAGAGGACTGAATCTGTCAAATCTGGTGAGGTGTTGGGAGTTTATCCTTTCTTTAGAACTGTATTAGTGTTCATTAGTGTTTCTGTTAGCAACGGAAACTGATCCTTGATACTGATACATGTTTTCTGGTGAAATGTGCATGTTGTTTTAAAACTACATGTGAACAGCATTCTGAAAGAGTGGTCCACAGTCTGCCCTCCACGCAAACTATTCTAAAATGTATATCATGAAAAGACATATCAGCCCAACGTGTGCACAGGATTTGTGTTGAATTTCAACTACCTCCTCCTGCCACACGGGGTCACTACTAACATGTGAAACTGTGTCTCCTCTGCAGCCAAACAGTACATTGAGACTGACCCTGGTGGCCGCGACAAGCTTACTCCTGTGGTGGTGGTGAAACAAGGCCATGAGCCCCCCAACTTCACAGGGTGGTTCCTGGCCTGGGACCCCTCCCACTGGGACTCAGTCAGCTGGAGTATGAAATCTATGACCCTTTAGTACTGTTCCACCCAGGAACACTGAAATATCATCCTTTCTGTAATCACTGTGTCAAAACAAATGAATACAAGAATTCAATCAATCTTCTTTTGGCAATTGCATTAAGAAATGATTGCTTGCTGTTACAATGTATGTTGATATATAATCACACACATGAAAAAAGGCCTTGGAGTGTGCTTTTAATCCTTTAATGAAACTAGTGCAGTGCCTGTACTAAATGTGCCTGTTTGCCTTGCCTGTGGTAATGCTTCACAGATATACTTCTGAATTATTCCTTGTTATTTGTGAGTCGTTCTCAAACAGTTCTACAATATACTGTCAGGTTTTTATTGTTGCTGGAGGTTGTGTGCAGAGCTTTGTACACACAGTCTATGGTGAACTTGAAAAACCTTTTGAATTTATTTAGTCACCCTGCCTGGTTTACCTTTTGGTTTTTGATCCAATGTAACTGAATTTCTTTTTTCATATTGTTCATGTGTATGGCTTATAAGTAAGTTTGAATGATTTACTTCATAGCTTTTGATCCATTGTATGTTGTGTGTTTCAGAGGTCTGTTATGCAACCGACACAATCTTCAGACCCAAGTTCACAACAAAACTAAGTTGTGCTTTTACTTTGAAGTCTAATTGCTAAAGAGAAAGTGATTCTATGATGTGTTGCTCTCAAGTTGGGCCACACACTGTTACCGTGCCTGATCTTGATTGTTTCATGAGTTATGAGTTTGGCAAAATTGTTTAGTATGTGCCAACAGTACTATTTACCTGAGTAGTGCTACAGGTAAAGGTTGTGTCCAACTGGAGAACGTTGCATTTACTCAACTGCATCAGAAAAGAAAACACCCGACATGTTGACGTGTTGCAGCAAAAAAAAAAAATACAGGTAAATAATGAAATGAGTGACTGGTAGGGCTGTACGATATGACCAAAAATTAAACCAAAATTAAAATTACAGTCAATATCCTTAATTATTGCAATGAATGTCACATTATTATTTCATTTATCTTTGTTATAATTTTTACTCCTGAGCAGAGGTTGTTTTTATGAGCAGGGGATAACATAAAAAGACACATTTTACAAGTCTGAGGTAGAACAATTATGTGGTAGACCCCTTTCTCACAATGCTTAAAGAATACATCAATATATTTTTGTTATATTGCAATTGATAAAAGTTACATTACGATAATCATTGATTTCTTTTTTAGCCCATGCCTAATGACTGGGAGTCTTGAATAGAACAACAACTGGGCCTCTCCAGGGACAGTCAGAATGTCTGCTGTGATGCTCACTGTATATGTAAAGTATAGGATCATGATAGTTTTGCATTAGTTCAACAGAATAGCATATATAGCATATACAGTTTATACTGAGCCCCACAGCAGTCTGCTACAAAACAACCAACATTAGCTCTCCAGCTGAAGTCTCTGTCTTATCTAACTTACGAACACAACACTTAAAGGGATAGTTCACCCAAAGATGAAAATTCACTCATTATCTATTCACCACAATGCAGTTGGGTGAAGTGTTTGAGTCCACAAAACACTTTTGGAGTTTCAGGGGTAAACAGTGTTGCAGCCAAATCCAATATAACTGAAGTTAACCACCACTTCTTTAAACAGAAGAACACACAGAAAACCCCCCATAAATGCCTCCATACTGCTCCTGTGGTGTCAACCAAGTGTCTGTAATCCCCAACATTTATCACGGGAACTTGTGAGTATCGCGGGAACTCGTGATGCAGTCATTCCTGCAGTACATCAGATCGATCCCTTTAAGCTACACCTCAGCTTGTTGAATGAGACACCAAACAAACAAAACGAACCTGTTTGCAGGCTACACAGCTGATGAGCTGCTCGGCTGCAGCACTGCGTGAAGCGTGAAGGAGCCGCAAGCTGCTAAAGTCCTTCCTCACCCTCTGCCCATGACAGAGACGGTTGGTTCACTTGTGTCTATACCTTTCTCCACTGTGTAAAGGCTTGTTTATGCTACCTTTAATATGAAACTCTCCCTGTCTATTATCTTTCTTCTGTGTCATGTTTGTCTCCAGTCTGTCTCTCAGTGTGTGTGTATTCTGCTGGACGTGGCTACCCCCTCTTCTGCCGCTTTGACACCAAACAGCCGTCTCATTCACCCAGACTGCAGATCGTCCAGTCACCGTTGACATATGGAAGTCGAGGCCAGTGTCTCTGCCTTTGATGGTTTGTTTCATGTGATCGCTTGTCTTTTAATTTCACTTTCCCGTGCTTCTGGTTGTCTCCTCCAATTCTACTGCTGTCAGACACGCTGCGTCTGCACTACTGTGTTTTCATTTCATGACAAAAAAAGAATACCATCCAGATGAGTGTTTTAGATCCATATCAGATATAATCTCTGTCCAAACTCTGTCCATACCTCTTTCATGAGACAAAAAACATTTAGTGAAGACAAAAAACATTTAGTGAAGACGACTGGTCTTGGAGGCCATTCCCTGCCAGTTTGTGGATCAGCCTTCTATTCTGCCCAGACATTGCCTCTTCGTGAGTCAACCTTGCTCAGCTGCCTCCTTTAATCTGTCCGTCCCTGCCTCTCACCTCAAAGCCTTGGTACACACTCCCTGAATTGCAGTGAGTCCTTTAATAATCATCTACTGTCTCGAAGTTTGAGTTTGGATTTAATTTTGGAAGCAGAAGGGTTATAACGTGTCAATTTCAAACAATGTGGCAACAATTGCTCACTTACTTCTTTCATGTGACCTTTACATTTAAGACTGTTAGAACACAAGCTTTATTAGTGTAATTAGTGATAGCGTCACTCCTTTCCCCACCCTCCCCTGCCTCACTTATAAGAGATCCAACAGTGGATCTTCAGATAACATAAACACGTAAAAGTACCTCAGAAGACGAGGTCATTCTCAGCTAAAGAAAACTTACTCAATTTATTATTCAATTCAATTTGATTTGTATAGCGCCAAATCATTATATACATTATATCAAGGCACTATACATAGAAGGTTAAGACCTTAAAATCTTATTTAATATAGAGAAACCCAACAGTTCCCACAATGAGCAGCACCTTGGCGACTGTGGACTAACCCTCGTTAACAAGGAGAAGCCTCTAGAACCAGCCTCAATGTGGGCGGTCATCTGCCTCGACCGGTTCGGGCGAGCAGAGAAAAAAGGGGAGGAGAGGGGAGATGGGTTGAAAAGAGGGGAGAGAAGAGAGAGAGAGAGATAGTGGGGAGGGGGAGGAGGGGGAGAGAGGCGACTGACAACTAACATAGACATTATCAGGATTATTACATTCCGTGTCTGCCAATGAATATTCATAAACACTCCACACTGGCGCTCAGACAGGCAGCCAGCTGCCGTCAATTGAACACAACCAACACTGGCCTGCCCCTCCAAGCTGGCAAAGAAGAATGTTGAGATTATTTTTGAAAGCAGGAAAAAGGGAGGATTCGCTCATGTGATTTCATTTGAACATCAAGCTTGATGAATTGAGCTTTGTGGGGGCACCACAAATGTGCCCAGAATGTCTGAATAAAAAAGCATGATTCAATTATTTCACCTGTGAAGAGTCAACGCCTGCTTCTGTATAAA